CAATCTCTAGAATAGTTGGAACTACAGGTGTGTACCACAACATCTGATTTAAGCATTGCTTCAGAGATACTTTTGGTTCATTTTATATATAAATGCTCATGAAAACATATTTATTGGAAAATGTATTTTTTATTTGTGGTGTCCTGGTAAAAAGTTTGCAATCTTCCCAAATTCTTTTCACAGAACCCTTGATGTCTCAGAAATTTTTTCATAGGGCTGTTATGCAAAAAAACAAAAGACACCTAACAGTTCCAACAGTGACGGTGAAGCCTTTAGAGCTTTCAAAGATAGCAAATTAGCAGCTGTGGCATGTGTGCCATATGTTCATCACCACTGGATTAGACCATGTAATTAATTATGTCCTAATGTTTAATAGCAATATAAAAATATAAAGCCGGAGTTATTATTAAATGAGCACAGTTACTGATAGGATGCGTGTATCCGACAGATATACAACTTATCAAACCTTGAATCATTTTGAATTTATTTATTTATTTTCTTTTTTGGTACCAGGAATTGAACTCAAGACGTTGCACTTCACAGACAAGCACTTGAGCCACCGACCTAAATCCCCAGGCTCCCTGAATAATTTTGGCCACTGCTATCTTCATTTACTATTTCCCATTGCTTTTACACAATACATACTGTGATCATAGCAACCTCTCAAAACCTAGTTTTGTGATTTAAAAAAAAGGAGTAAATCTCATGTATATCTCCTCAGACCAGCAGTGCCTGTAGAATCCATGTGAGTTCACTGTGGTGTGCTAAAGTACCTCAATGCACAGTCTGAGAATCTTGGACTTAGAAACATTATTCCAATCAATGAGTTTGCTTTGTAAATTAAAAAACAGGACTGAAGATCACCAAGTTATTAAAATAATTAATATATTTATTAGGAGTTTTCATAGATTAAATTTAACCTTTCATCAATAAAAGTTTTGAAACAGAATCCATATTCTGTGATGAAATTTGTAGATTTCTAAAAAAATTATATTCAAAACCACATACTATCAATAAGAAAATTCTGCTTCAGTATTTTTTTAATGTTTGAAAAGTTATAAAAGTGCTGGGGAATTAGCTCAGTGGCATCAGCACCTGCCTACCAAGTGCAAGGTCTTGAGCTCAATCCTCTATACCAAAAAAAAAAAAAAACCATTATAAAAATGAGGGTTAACAATAACACAAGAGACAGCATCTTAAGAGAAAAAAGAAAGCCATCTACTCCCCCAAGGATAAAATGAGTAACAGTTTTAACACCTATCCTTACAGACCTTTTTCTATGTACATTTAAAATCAAAACAAAATTATATTCCATTGCCTAAATATCTATTTTTTATAATCATATTGCATAGTATAGTGCAACTTATTTCTTGCACTATTACATTGAGTGTTCTTCCATGTCAGCACAGAGTAGTAATAGCAAATACTTATGTGACACACATTGCACTTACATAGGACATAAATACTAACATGGTTGGCTCTGACAATAGCCCTGTAAAGTAAGAACCAATATTATATTCAGTTTATAGATGAGTTAGTAACTTGCTGGTGTCAATGCAAGTACAAGTCATGCAGTAAGGATCTGAACCCAAAGAATCTGCTGTATGATCCATAGTACTGAAAGACATGCTCAGCTGCTTCTCATGTAGTAAATTTAGATATCCCAAATACCTGTTAACAACTGCAGACTATCTCACAGCATAAAAATACTACAATTTTAACTACTCTATCAATGGACAATAGGACTTTTTTATTATTTATAAATATTGGCGTTATTTGTACTAAAGTTAAAATGAACACTCTTAAAAATTATTCCTGTGCTTTATGTTAAAATTTATGTAAGATAAACTAAAAATGAAATGATTTTATCAATAAGTATGCATACTTTTGATAAGTGAGGCAACATTTTCTCACAGAAAGTTGTTGTAGTTGTACCAACTTATAGTCCCAGTGACAGGATAGACAGTGGAGATTCATTTTTATACGAACAAATATTTTTGATTCACGAAAAGCACAGCCTGTTTTAAGATATTAACACTGATACAGAACACAGTGCCAAACTGGTCACAATTATGCTCTGCTTTGATAATTATCTCACATTAAACAAATACAGACTTGGTAGATGTGTAGTAGATTCTTCTCCCTGTTAAGGAACCAATTATGAATGAGATACTCTCCCCTGTGTGACCCTGTTTTCTTATATATAAAATATGAGAATTGGACTAGCTGGCCTTTAAGATTTAAAACTCTCAATGCTATGATTAAGAAGCGACAACATTATCACAACCCTACAATTATAGTACCAGTGTAACAGGTTAGGGTCTAACGCTTTTATTTTCTTTAAATTATAATAACTACTGCAAGGGCATCTAGGCAAATCATTAAAATAGTCAATAAGGATTTCAGGATCTGCCCATGGTTTATTGTTCGTGGCTTTTAAATCCCAAGTTGTCATTCTCCTGCTACCTAACCAATTTGAACATACCTCTCCGGAATATACTCCTAAAAAGAGCTGAATGGTGTCTAGGAACTAAGAATCAGGTTTTTTGGGTTTTTTTATATATATATAATATTATTCTGGCACCATTCTTTAGTCAATTCAACTTATATTTACTATCTTACTGTATGCTAGGCATTAGAGTACAATAGTGAACAAAAGATCTCTGTCAACTTGGCATTAATAGGCCAGATTAGTAACTCAACATACAACATACCCACATGTAAATGTAAAATTACACTTATGATAACAATGAATAACAACAACAACAATAAAAATCAGTTCAGGAAAAATTTCTTAAAACATGTAATCTTAAACTATATGTGACACTAAAAATTGTTTGACATAGGAAAAAAATCAATAAAACTATTTCACAATTTGCCTCACACTATAAAAATAACAATCACAAATGCAGTTTAAACTTTCAAATCATTAGGTGTCTCTATAATAAAACTATCAAGATTTTACTATTTTTCAGATGTTACTATCAATCATGTGACCTAAATGTTTTACATCCAAAACTATAAAGAAATTTTTAAGAATCTTATTCATGTAAAAAAAGTAGGGGACTGGGGATTTAGCTCAGCAGCATAAGCGCCTGCCTTGCAAGCAGGCAGTCGTGGGTTCGATCCCCATTACCGACAAAAAAAGAAAAAGACAAAAAAAAAGTATATAGAGGTAACGTGATCCATTATAATAATTAACAAAATGTTATGAAAATGGTAATACTTTTAAAGGACTGACAATCAACATAAAGAACAAATTGCATGTAAAAGTGAACAAAGATAGAATTTTTAAAACTATTTTAAATAACACCAAATGCTAAAAGTATCTGTAAATTTTTAAAATAAAAGTACGTAGTTCTAGATGACCAACAGAAATAAACAAATTTTCTTGTGTCTAGTTTCCACAACTGCAAAACAAGGATATCTGCCATACTTCTTTACACGTTACTGCCATAAAGACTAAATTTTAAAAAATCAATTGTTTCAGACAACGGCTTATTTTTTGCTCTCACTATAACTTACAGCAGTTTATAAAAGCGGTTAGATAGAGATTTCATCCCCTTTCTCCAGCCCATGATGTGGCTGAAGTACAAAACAGGCAAAAGACTGGCAATCAGAAGCAGGAGAAACAAATTCAAAAGAGTCATAAATTAATCCAGAGAAGGTTGGCTGTCAAAGTATTAACCCTCCTTACATACCAATATATTTCAGAAAATCAGAGAAAATTCTTCACATATAAAAACTGTTGACATGTATAACTCACCATCACTACAAACAGTTTTGCTACTGATTAGGGAAGGGAGAAATACACTTTGTATGTATACAATGTATTCTAGCTAGATTTTTTTTATTAAAGTATCTAACATTTAATGTGAGGATAGCTCAATGGCTTAGATTTTATTACACTGAATAGTTTGTCAGTTTAGTACACCAAAGTATATGTTCATCCCTCTGAAGCAACTTCTAGCACAGATTTAACAATCCGCCAAAGTCATAATCCCAAATTTTAGCAGCACATTGTCTTGTTTTAAAAACCATAGTTTAAGATAAATATTTTAAATGGAGGGCATCGTGCAGCATTTTATCATTATTTCTACAAACTTTTCAGGTTGTTTCTACGTCTACCCATCTAACACAGACTTTTCCTGCAAAAACACAAGCCAGGAAGAATGGTTAACATGGTAACGTCAACGACTTCTTCAAAATGAAAACAAAATCACCATCAAAACAGAGAACACAGATACTGATCACTACGCTTGACAACTTAATTTTTTCCTAAATCAAAGATTTGTTACTACATTAAAATCACTCTAAAAATCTATCGCTATGTGCAATTTCCTAGCTGAAAATCTGAAATCCAACAAAACTGCAAATCATATCTGTGGCATTAGCTAAGTATTATTTAGCAAGCCGAGCTGCCTCTAAAAGAGGTTGGGGGGCGGGGGGGGGGGGACGAACAACTTTCAAAGTGTAAAGCTTTTTAAATCTCCCCTAAATCAGAATCTGAATAAACCGGTACACTAGAGTCATGCTGGACTGGAGATCGAAGTTTTTCCTGTATTGTACTTGAGACAACTGTTGCCCCCATTGAAAAGGAACAGAGGAACAGAAACTGGTCATCCTGCCACTGGTATGGTTTTCCCGGAATTTCCCAAAACATGTTCAATCGCCAAAGGAATACAGCCACTTCTCGAAACCAAAGGTGAGAGGTATCTTACCTCTTTATAGACAGGGGTAGGGGGCAGGGGGTGGGTCACTGACTGGCAGTAAGCAAAGAAATTCCGCCTTTGGCAAGCACCGGCGGGGTATGAAACCGAGGTCTCAGGATGATCCCCCCAAAACCCTTCAGACCAGGGAGGCTCCCCGAAGGGGACGCCAGGCAGGGCCAGCGGGCCCCGCCCCGCCTCTCTCGCCGCCACCACCAGGAACCTGGAACCGCGGACAGGCGGAGTCGGAGCGAGCGTCCCCGGTCCCCGCCAGGTCTTCCCACAGCTCACCTGAGAGTGTCGCCTCCGCCTTCGGCTCCCACGGTGCATCCCGCGGGGCCTGGCGGAGGGAGCAGTGACGCCGCCCCGACTGACCCCAGGGCTGCCCGGCCTGGCCTCACCGCGCCGAGGACGCGCCGGTTGCCCGCCTCGTATCGACTCCCGAGATTCCGCCTGTCTGCGGGAAGAAAGGAGAGGCAGAAAGACGCCTCCCCTTCCCCGCAGCAAGCCACCTCCTGAGCTGAGGCTCTCTGCAGTTCTGTCTAGCGCAGGTCTGGCCCCACTCCCCCGCCCGGGAGTCACTTCGGCAGCGGCGGCCCAGTCGCCATTACAGTCCAACAACTGACACGGAGGAGGAGCGGCGCCGGTGGCAGTGGCGGTGGTGGTGGCGCGAGGCAGGGCGGGAGCGGTCCGGAGCCAGAGAAATCTCGCGAGCACTGTTCCGAGGCCGTACCACCGGAATGTAACTGTGGATTAGGGCCATGTTGAGTGTGGCCAGAAAATGAGGGCGAGATAAAACGAAGAGAAGCAACACGAGGGAGCCATATTTGGTGCGGCAAAGTTTGAGCCTGGCGCGACTCGGGAGGAGCCAAAGTATATCCGCAGAGGAGACCACCTCCCCCTTCTTTTTGACTCTAATTGGGCCTTCTGACTGCGCATTTCAACCCCAGCAAGGAAAACATGCTGGGGATTTGACAAGGATGAACTCCACGTCTGGGGACGGCAGCTTTCTGAGAGTTTACGTTGCTTCACCAGTTGTTCAAATAAAGCGGCATTTCAGTCAATCCGTTTCAGAATAATTGCAGCTCTGCGACTGCTGCAGTTTCCTCCTGCTGTCAGTGTTGCCGTTTTATTCGCAGAGATTACAATTTTGTTTAGCATGCAAATAACGGTTTAACACGCTAAAGCAAGTAAATGAAATTTCCTCCCATTGAGTATTGGCATTGATTTAACTATGCTTTGAGAAATCCGTTGTAATCAACATATTTCTCGTATCTTTGTCATCTTTTCCCTGTCCTCGCATGGTAAATTCTATCATCTGTCAAGACAGTTTAAAGGACAACTCTGCTGTAAATAATACCATCTTCCCCTAGGAATTCACTGTTTACAAGCTTACCACTCATCATTTCTATGTTGCAGACTCTGATAGTTGTTTATCCTGAAACTGTTTCTCATCTTTAAGTACCTAAAAGACTTTGAGATCTCTTTTAATGCCCACTAGAGCGTAGCACAGTTGACTAGAACATGGTAAATGCTCAATAATTATTTTTGAGTAAATCTTCATTAAGAGAAGTAAGCAATAACGGGACCTTCTTCATAGGCCTTCAACTGTGCCTAAACAGGATGTAAGTGTACATCCAACAGTCTTGCATACATGCAAAATGTGTACTGTGTCTCCAAGAAAACTCATCACAAAAAAGAACAAGAAATGTGGGTATCTCCACCATGGAAGTGATAGAAGAAAAAAAAAGTAGCATAAAGAAAGTATGACTTAGATTTTCCCCAATCATGCAATGTATATTATTTTCCTGCAGTTATACAATCACCTTAAGTATACTCACTTTAAAAAAAAAAAGAGAAGGGGCTGGGAATTTAGCTCAGCGGCATAAGCACCTGCCTTGCAAGCAAGTAGTCGTGAGTTCGATCCCTGGTACCGATAAAAATGAAAAAGACCAAAAAAAAAAAAAAAAAAATGGATTCTGAAAGGCTATTTTTCCTGTAATAAAAAAGGAGATATGAAGATTAGTGTTCTTTAGTTCAAAGTTTACCTATTCTTGTTCTCCCTTTATGCTGCCTTCTTGGCAACAAAGAAAACAAAACTTTCTGTCATTATGTCATTAGCAAAGTTCCCAATACCATTAGCCTATGCTCAATTTCGACCTCATTGTGCTGATCTGTCCTTTCCCTCGCCTCCAAAATAACCTCAAGCACATCGGCTGTTCTTTTTAACATCCTATAATATTGTTTTAAGCTGTAAAGATTAAACTATTGAACATATCAAATTTTGTAGCACTTGGTCATAGTTTTGTGAGAGTAATTTATATTTGAAACAAGATTCCAAGCTTAATGCACACAGATTTATATCCTCCCCAATGTTAGGCACATAATAGATGCTCAGTATGGCTTCTTTTCTCTCCTGCAATTTTGTTATGTTGGTTTGTTTTATTTTGAAGTGAGGTTTTGCTGTGTTGCCTAGCCTGATGTTAAACTTCAGGACTCAAGTGATTTTCCCAGTTCAGTCTCCCACGTAGCCATCCCCTCCACCTTACTGTCTGTGAATCAAGACTAATGATATCTATCCCACAGGATTAGCCTAAAGATGAAAAGTAGCATCAGGAAATTAGAAGACAGAAATAAAAAGTAGCTGTTACCATGTCCCAAGATAGTGGTGATACATTGATTGGGAAAGTTACATTTGAGTCAAAGTGAATCTTAGACATGAGCTACTCATTTCTACATCTAGGCCTTTGTTTCCTAACTTGTAACATATATCAGCCTGGTTCACGTTTTTGCCACTTTTTTTAGAATTGACTCAAAAGTTTTAGATCAGCGGCATAAGCGCCTGCCTTGCAAGCAGGCAGTCGTGAGTTCTATCCCTGGTACCGATAAAAACGAAAAAGACAAAAAAAAAAAAAAAAAAAAAAAAAAAGTTACTACTACGGAAATTCCATGATGCTCATACTTTTTATGTGTTCTTCCAAGTTGAATTCCATGATTCCATGGGCCCACTGCAGGGCAGAGCCTATTATTGATAGTTTTATATTTATCTTACACATCAAGTTTGATTGTAAAGGCTTTTGCCTCCTTCATAGTCGATTAAGACTTGAACTCTGGACTCAGAACAGACCTGGATTTGAAGCCTGGCTGAGTTTATTAGCTATAAAATTTATTAGCTCTAAAATTTTGATCAAGTTACTTAACCTCTTTTTGTACTTCTTTTTCTACATATGAACAGTGAAGATTGAAGTGATGCCTTCATTACAGGGCTGTGTAAGGATTAAAAGAAGTAACAAATGTAAAGCACTTAACATGAACTAAACACATAATAGTCACTCAGAAATGTTGGTTACTTTTTACTATTTTTCATCAGCTTAAATATCTTATTTGTACAATATCTTATTTGTACTAGGTAACCAATATTGTCTGAATTAAATTGGTTATTACAGAATTTAATTAAATTTTGGGTGAATAATTGTTTAGTCTTCTGGGAGTATAAAACTTGATACTGTTCCTGGACAACAAATTGAGAAATGGAGAGCTACCACTATGATAGTATAATGATGTTGTCCACTCTGTAATAGACTGAATAGTGGCAGAATGACCAGTGATTTTATGTGTGTGTGTGTGTGTGTGTGTGTGTGTGTGTATCTCTGTGTAAAGTACTGGGAATTGAACCTAGAGCCTTCATACTGAGCTGCATTCTCAGTCCACTTTTATTTTTTATTTCAAGATGTGGTCTCCCCAAATCAGTAAGTTATCCAGCTCTGGGTTAAGTAGTCTCCTGCTTTGGCTCTGAAGCTGCAACTTTCTAGTTGGGTGTACCAAATTACTTCTCTTTCAGCTGGCCTAGTGACCCCATATCTTCTGCCCCTAACCAGGTAATCTTCTTTATCTGGAGTCTACTCAAGCTGTAGGCCAACCTCTAGGGATAGACTCTTTAAAATCACAATTTAAAGCGAGAGATTTATTTTGGCTCACAAATACAATCCATGGTTAACTGACACCAGGCAGAAACAGGATGTGAGAGAGGGCCACTGGCAGAGGAAAAGGTGCTCAACACATGGCTGCCAGGATGCAGAAAGAAAAACAGGAGCAAAGACAAAAACATAGCCTTCCAGGTCACACCCCAGGGACTCACTGATGATCCAATCAACTTCCGACCCCATGAAACTTTGAGGGGATTTGGGGAGCTTTAGAGGGATTTTGAGGTTTTAGATCTAAACCACAACAGGAGGACCCCTCCACTTGATTTTTAAGAAAAATTCCTACAATTTATTTCTTCTTAAAAATGTTTATTTTGGAATAGTGTTATGATTTGTGTTTAAATAGCCTCCCCAAAGCCTTCTGCTGTCACAGAGCAGGCCTTTGCAAAGGGCCTGAGGCTAGCATTTGTGATTGGTTCATTGTCTAGCGCTGGGATTGGTGGTGCTAGTGCTGCACCTGCCCAGGGGTGTGGAACTAGCATACAATATAGGAGAGAGAAAGAGGTGTGCTTTTCCCCTTTTGCTTCCACCTCACCCCGTGCCTTTTTTGTTTTTTTGTTTTTGTTTTTGTTTTTGTTTTTTGGCTCTTGTAGCTGGTAGTATCTGGCGCAGCCACCATATTCCTGCTCAGCCACACCACCCTGACTTGAAGCCAGCTATTGTGAACTAAAACCTCCATGAACTGTGGAGCTAAATAAACCTTTCCTTCATTTTGGGTGTTGGGTATTTTGTCTCAGCAAAAGAGAAAAATAACCAAGACAAACAATATACTCATATGGTTCAAAATTTCTAAAGTACGGAAAGGATAAGACTTGCACTAACTTCTAGAAACTGTAGTTTTCTTCCAATTAGACAGTCAGCAATCTCTTCTCCATATCTTTATATGTTTTTCGAAACGATGTTTCCCTATGTACTACAGGGATTATGTAGCCCAGGCTGGCCTTGAACTCAGCCTCCCAACAGCAAACAGATACCGTGCCTGGCTCACATTTTATACATGTATAGGCAAATATTATATAGCTTCCCATCTTTTCTTAACACAGATAGAATACCATTCACAGAGAATCCTTTTTACAGTAACACCTACATTTACAATTTATAGGGCCACGGATTTGGCTCAGTGGCACAGCATCTGTCTGGCAAGCATGAGGTCCTGAGTTTGATTCCAGGTACCAAAAAAAAAAAAAAATTATAATGATGCCTATGTCAGGTCCCACATTTGGTCCCTCATGTTCTCCAATCTCTGACTCCTTTTTGGAGCAGAAACATTTAACTTCTTCCCTGGTACTATCCTTCATTGTGATGCCAGATTTGTTGTGCCTGTCCCTGAATTTAAAAGGAAAGATTTGTCCTTTGAATGGATAAATTCAATAGTGAAAAAGTAGTGGATAAAATTATAGGTTAGACTTGGCATCCAGGCTTGATATTTTCTTAGAAACACTCTAAATTGGGCATGATGGCACATGCCTATAACCCCCTCACTTTGGGAGGCTCCGGCAGGGCAGTTTAGCGACTTAGCAGTCCCCGTACTAGTTCAATCCCCAGGAGGGAGGCAGGGAGAATATGAATTGTTTTAGACACTCAGGGTGAACAAAGCCACCTTACAATTGTACTAGTCAGATGAGAATGTCCTCATGTCTCTCAGTTCTTTCTTGCTTCCCCAACTCCCTGCCTTCTTCCTTGAGCAGAACAGAAATGACAAC